CCTACTTTTCACCTGCAGCAACCGCCCCTGGAGCAGCCCGCACCTGCAGCAGCCGCCCCTGGAGCAGCCCGCACCTGCAGCAGCCGCCCCTGGAGCAGCCCTCAACCGCAGCAGCCGCCCCTGGAGCAGCCCGCACCTGCAGCAGCCGCCCCTGGAGCAGCCAGCAACTGCAGCAGCCGCCCCTGGAGCAGCCCGCAACTGCAGCAGCCGCCCCTGGAGCAGCCCGCAACTGCAGCAGCCGCCCCTGGAGCAGCCCGCACCTGCAGCAGCCGCCCCTGGAGCAGCCCTCACCTGCAGCAGCCGCCCCTGGAGCAGCCTGCACCTGCAGCAGCCGCCCCTGGAGCAGCCCTCAACCGCAGCAGCCGCCCCTGGAGCAGCCCGCACCTGCAGCAGCCGCCCCTGGAGCAGCCAGCAACTGCAGCAGCCGCCCCTGGAGCAGCCCGCACCTGCAGCGGCCGCCCCTGGAGCAGCCCGCACCTGCAGCCCGTCCCGTTCCCCCCCCCCCCCCCCCCCCCGTGCATTCCGTGGTGCTGGGGGTGTGGGGTGCCGAGCATGGGGGTGGCGGGTGTGGGGGTGGCGGTTATGTGTTCCTCCCCTTGCTCCTCCTCCTCCCTCGTCTCCCACTGCTGCAGCTATCGCTGAGGGGGGTGGGTGTGTGGGAGCCTAGGGTTTAGGGTTTAAGTGGGGTGCTGTGGGAGTGGAGCTAGGGTTTGAACAGGGAGTGTGTGAGAGGGGAGTGGGGCAGCTGGGGGAGGTTGTGTGAAGGTAGCTGTCGTGTCGCCTGCAGCGCTTGTAGTCCGTCGCCCTTGCTTCGGTAGCCAGTGAGCCTGTTGCACCAGTCGCCAGAGGGTCCGTTGCTCCTGCCGCTCGTCTATAGCCGCGGAGCCAGTCACTCCAGTAGTCTGTCGCCCTTGCTTCGGTAGCCACTGAGTCAGCCGCTCCTGTGCCCGTGCCTCTGCAGCTTCAGTCGTTGCCTCGCATCTTCTCTTCCTCCACAGTCTCTCCTCCTCATTTGCCCTCTCTGTCTGCTGCGCTCTGCTTGGTGTACCCCTTCCGGGGGTGTTTCTGCACATGGTTCTTCACTGCAGGCAGTTAGGGGGTGTGTCAGAATGTTATTGTATACATCACTATAACTACCTGCAATGTAGACTTAGTGTAGTTATCTTGCTTGTTAGGTGGTGCACCTTGCTTCACTTCTTTCATATTTGTACCCTTGAACCCATAGTGAAACCATCATTCTCTCACACAACTCTCTCGACAATTTTCCTTACCCTCGAACTTCACCACTAAGTCACTTAACTACCATGGCTCCTAAGCCTACTAAACTTTAGTCTTTCAACACAGCGCGGGGTGGTCGCCTCAGGACCCCAGCGTGCACGGTAGAGGTCGTCGAGGTGGCAGAAGCACCGCGCCGCAGAGTGGTCGTCGCGGCCGCACACACAGGGACTGCCCGGTCCGGTGACGCACAAGTGGTCACAGGGGCCGGTGTCGCGCCAAGGAGGGGCGCGGGGCCCAGCTGGTAGTGCTGCTGCTGCGGCCAGTGCTCCCAGGTCCTCCAGGTCCCCACTGTGGCGGAGGGCCCCAGTGCTGTTGCGGACCCCACTGCAGTGGGGGTCCCCACGACTGAAACTGCTGTGGTGCCTGCCACTGTTGCTGTCCCTACTGCTGCTGCTGTCTCTGCTGTGGCTGCTGCTGTGTGGCTGCTGCTGCTGGGGCCCCGCACCACCGCTGGTCGAACCTCCTCCAGCAGGTGGGCCAGCACCTCCTCCAGGGCTCCCTCCGCCTGGTGCACCACCGCCGCCGCCCCCACTGCCGCCCCCAGTGCCGCCTCCACCACCGCCACCTCCTCCACCGCCGCCACCCCCCCTCCCCCCTTTCTTGCCACCCTTGCCCCGTTTCTGCCGGTCAGTGACAGAAACTGCTGTTGTGTCCTCAGAGACCGACACAGCAGCAGAGGTACGAGTAGCAGTGAAGGTGGGAAGCTGGGGGACAGCACACCCCTCAAACAGACGGGGAGCGACTGCGTCAGTGGCCGAGGCAACAGAGAGGAGGTTACTCTCGATCTTCCTGAGTGTGGTCTTGAGAAGATCAATTGTAAGCTCACTGGGGTGCTGCTGGAGAAGCGCGTCACGGGCAGTGGAGAGGCGGTCAGGGCGACGAGTGACTACCCAGTGGACGGTGAGCCAGATAGGAGGGGGAGCAACAAGAAGCTGAGCCTCAGTGCAGGCTGCACGGTGACTACCTAGTGGACGAGTGACTACCAAGTGGACGGTGAGTCAGATAGGAGGGGGAGCAACGACAAGGGAACGCAAGTGACTGGCTAGGTCGGAGACAGTCGCAAACGAGCCAAGGTCGGGAAACACGAACGGCATGAGGATGCGGCTGAGGGAGGCAGAGGAAGGGGTGGAATAGCGTGCAGAGATAGCATCATAAACCCCCTTCGCAGTCTCTACCAGGTCGAAGTGAACGGCCTCAGTCGGTGGAAGGAGCTCTGTCAGCGCGAGAGCAGCCGCAGCGTCATGGGAGTCCCAAAACGTCCCGCGCCAAGACGAGACGATCGTAGTCCGCCTGCGCCTCTGAAGTCGGGGCGGGCTCGGTAGGCAGGGGCTCGGGACGCCGGGGTGCCTGGAGGGCGCCGGAAGCGTGGGCGTACAGGGTGGCGCCATCCTGGCGCTGACTGGTGAGATGGCGCTGATTCTGGCGGAGCCATGTGCCGAATTCCATCGGGCGGCCCTCCGCGTCGAAACGAAGGCGACGGGAGGACTCCATAGTGGAGGCTAGGCTAGGAGCGGCCGGAACCCGGAGCAAGCGGAGCTGGGAGCGAGGAGTGCCAGGTGAAACTAGGCGAGGCACTGCCGGAGCACGGAGGAACACTGAGCTAGGAACGCCAGTCTAGTAACGAACGGAGCTGGGAGCTAGCCGAGCTAGGAGCAGACGGCTGGAGGAGGCAGTGCTGACGAGCCGATCGAGGAGCCGGAGAGTCGTTCGAGGGGCTGGCGGAGCGAGGGGAGACCTAGCTAGCAACGAACGTCAGTACTAGCCTAAACAGCTAGGTGGAGCGGCCTCCAGCCGCGACGGTGCGAAACACTGTGGGTAGGAGTGACGCGAGTGTCGAACCAACGAAACTGGAGGGGAAATCCGAGGAAACCCTAAACGAAGGTGTGGCTCGTGGCGCCTCGGGCTACGGGCATTCGGGGTAGGAAGAGGTGTGCACGGCAGGGGTGGGTAAGGGCGCGCGGGGCGGGCGGACCAGGGGAGCGCGGGCTACAGGCATGGCGCACGGGCTACGCGCGGGCTAGGGGCAGGGCGTACGAGCCGCGCTTGGGCGACGGGCAGGGCGCACGGGCTACGCACGGGGTAGGGGCAGGGCGTACGGGCCGCGTGTGGGCGACGGGCCGGGTGCACGGGCTACGCGCGGGCTAGGGGCAGGGCGCACGGGCGACGCGAAGGGCTGGGCCAGGGCGTACGGGCTACTCGCGACCTAGGGGCAGGGCGCACGGGCGACGCGACGGGCTGGGGCAGGGCGTACGGGCTACGCGCGACCTAGGGGCAGGGCGCACAGGCGACGTGACGGGCTGGGGCAGGGCGCGCGCTGCTGGGCTGGCAAGGGCGCGTGACGGGCTGGGGTAGGGCGCTCGCTAGGCTAGGGCGCGGGCTAGGAGGGTGCGGAGGCGCGGAGGGTGCAGTGGCGCGGGTAAGGCGTGGAGGCACGAAGGGCGCGGAGGCGCGAGCTAGGCGCGGAGGGCGCGGAGGGCGCGGAGGGTGCACCAGGGGAGGGCGCGGAGGCGCGGGTGCGCGCTAGGCTAGGAACGGGCGAGAACGAACCTACTCGTGATACCATCTTAAGAGTAGCTAGCAACGGAATGTTGTCACTAGGAAAGCAAGGCAGTACAAGTATGAAACCCTAACTGAGTTGTACTCACTAAGGAGCACCTCACTGCAGCCTAAACCAACTAATAACATTTGACACAACTATGCTCGGTCCGATGACATCGCCTCTCGAATGTGATCCGCGTCACTGCCAAACTTGGCATCTTCTGACCAGCACCCAGCGTCGACCTCCGAGGTCTCAGTCTAGCTAGGGTCCCTCGGTATATTTCCCCTAGTTTCTCATTTGTATGGCGTGATGCATTCACTTGATTGATATTGACTTCCGCGCACTCTTCCTGTTACCACAACTCGTCATAACACTATGCATGTTTGTTGTATCTGATTAAGATAAATGTAACCTTCTTGATTGTTCGACCAATCAGAACCTTTCGCATAAATTGACGGTAAGTTGGCGCGCGCGGCTCGCGCGACCATTGCCGCGAAGGCCTTGTTAGTACATACCGCTCTTTTTGCCAGAGCTTCCTCAGTTCTGACAAAGGCAGGCCTGCAGCAGCAGCACCCCTTTTCCAGGGAATCTGCCGTCTCTTCACTGTCAAGCGAACACTTTCCTGATTGTCGCTAGTAGACCTTTGTAAGCAGTTTCCAATCGTCTGTACAGCTATGAATCAGTCAGGACCTTTGGCAATGGTGGTGGTAGAGGCTGATAAGTGCTTTGTTATGCACGGTAATCATTTGACGCTGCACAAGAAATTTGGTTTGACTGACCAGCGGAATGTGCGCTCTGTTTGGTCTTCCATCCCATTTCATTCTAGACTTCCTGACCCTGAGTCAACCCCCTACCAGCCCCTACATACCTCTGCTTACGGTTGGAGCGGGATGCGAATCTGATAAGCCTTGTTTTCGATTGATACAACGTACTGCTTCGTACTGATTAGGGGCCAAAGTCAAGCTATCGACTTTTGCGATCATTTGCGATCACGGCTGGGATTGGTGAAGGAAGAAGAATCATTCTGATGAGTTATGAACACACCAATGACTCGGGTTCCTGGTATAGAATCTGTCGCTTCCCTGATTCCGACGTGGCTCAGGGTCCAGGCAATCTCGGTGCATCTCGGGCCTCATTTCGCCGTAACGGTCAATTTTATGAGCAAGGAGCCCGTCACAATCTGATGGAGACGTTTCAACGGTCAGTTGCCTCGAGGCCTACTGGAGCCGACCTTTCGAAACAATACCTTCGCCTGTCCAACCGTTTAGTGGTCACGGATACTGGTGCAATTCTAGCCGGGTCGTCTCTAGGTTCATCCTCGGGTTTGTCTCTAAGTTCTTCGAAGGGATTCGCGTCGCAATGGGTCTGGAAGTCCGCCACCTGGCGCCTGCTGCTGCTGCTAATTCCGGCGATCTTTATCGGGCAATCTCTCTTGTCCAACCGTTCCTCGCAGTATCTCGACGCCGAAGGAGCGGAAAACGCGATATCTGCGGTAGATGCTATTGGAGCGGCAGGAACGGCGCCAATCGCGGCGGTCGCCGCGGCGCGAGGCTCCTTCGCGTCCCGTGCTATCCGCGCGGATGGCGGCGGTGAGAGCACTCTCACGGGTCGCTTGACTGGAAGCGGCACAGGCGGCGATAACAATGCGAATCCAGAGCAGCAAAAGCAGCAGGATGAGTGGCAGCAACAGCAGCCGCAGCGGCGGCGGCAGCGGCGGGAGCGGCGGGAGCGGCAGCTAAGAGAAGAGCCGTTTGGGCTCAGGCTGTCACAGGTGCAGCAACAAGTGTCGGGCCCACAGCCGCACCTACAGCAGCCTCAGCCACAGCAGCAGCAACAACCGCATCAGCAGCAACAGCAGCAGCAGCAGCAGCCGATCTCCATGATAGCCCTCACAGCATCGAGCTCTGCAGACGAGGCAAGCACTGGCGAGACCTCCGCCACATCCGCCGCCATCCGCGCAGAAACCGCTGTACCCGCAGCAGCACGGCTGCATGGGGAATCTGGTGGCAATGTTGCTGATCATGCCAATAACAAATCCGATGCTGAGGGCGAACCCAGTGCTAATCCGTATTCCAGTGCCGATCGCGGTGGTGATGGGGGCAATGCAAGCAGTGCAAAAGGTCAACGCGGTGAAAGCGGAGCACGTAGTAGAATCAAGGGTTCGCAGCGGTTCTACATGGTGACGGGCGAGGGCGACTACTGCGCGGGCGAGTCGCACTGGACGTGGAGCTTCCTGTGCGCCGCGGCGGAGGCGAGGCTGCTCAACCGCACGCTCATCATCCCCATGGCCAGGTGCCTGGATGCACGACATACCTTGTCCAATCTGACGGAGGAGAAACCGATGGCGCTGTACTATGATATGGATCACTGGCCGAGGTACGATCCCTTATCCTTTTACTAGTAACCAGTGACATGTAACTGGTAACTGGTAGCTGATTAATAGTATCTGATAAGGGGTGGTCTATCTCTTGCTAGGTGGCCTGAATTTATGCGACGATCATAGGGCTGACAGATTGGTTCCTAGTGAATCTTGGGATTCCAGATCGAGGTGCAAGCAGAAGAGTTTCACGTATGTACCATTCGCTTAAAGCGACGGTGCACATTTGCCACCCAAAACCCAGAACCCTGGCGAACTGTTACTGCGGATGGAAAGTGTCCGCACGAAATCCTGGTTTTCGCCAGCGCGCTGGCAAGCCTGGTTCAAAAAAAAAAACTTCTGAACCCAACACTGCCAAAAGTTGCCCGTCGCTTTATGGGTTTCTGTCGACTCAAATGTCTACACCATCTATTGAAACGCTTGATGTGTAAGCAAAGGCCTTTCAGGATTTCATTCATGAATTGACTGAGGACCCACTCCATGCACTGTCGACAATGCTCCTTTCACGTTCCTTTCTCGCTTGGCATTTCAATTTCCGTAAGTGCTTCGCTTTTTAAGGTCCCTTTTCACTTAGCCTTCATGTTCCTTTCTCATTTGGCCTTTCAACCTCGTACCATTACGCATGATATTGAAAACGTAAAACTTCACGCTGACATTCTTTTGTGTGCTTTGTTTTGTTACTCGTTTTTTAGCCATGGTGTTTGAGTCGTCAACTCAAAGGAAGCTACGAAGAAGTGGAGGATATGGAGGAGATAGAGGAGGTAGAAGGCACAAGAAAGTACAACCTTTGTGGCTCATTCACCTCCCCTCCCCTACTTACCCACTCCCTTCCCCCCAACCCCCCTCCCCCCAACTCCTCCTGTCACCCCACAGACAACATCCAGCCAATAATGCTGAGCCTCCAGTTTGAGGTCAAATTTGGGCCGCACAACGTGCCCATTGTGAGCATGCGGGTGTTCCCGGCAAAAAAGCAGACTCTTGAGGCGCCCCAAAAGTCGTCCCCTCCCTCCTCTCACCCCCCACACAGCATCCAGCCCATAATGCTGGACCTTCTGTTCGAAATCAACATAGGGCCGCTGAACGTGACGATTCTGAGGGAGAGGCACAACATGAGCGTGCGGGAGTTTCAAGCAACGGAGCCCACGAGCAGGCTGGAGAGCGAGGATGCGCGCAGTGCCACGCTCATCGTGCGCAATGCACGGTTCGCCTTCCAAATGTGCACTGAACGCGGGGATGAGGTGGGTGGGTGGGGGAGGGGGGGGTGGGAGGGATTGGAGTGGGTGGGAGGGAATGGGGTGGGTGGGAGGGAATGGGGTGGTTTGGAGGGGATGGGATGGATACCATTGCAAGGCATGGTGAGTTTTTCTCGTCTGTGGTGTCTGGATTTACTATTAAGGCGCCTGAAAAGTAGATCCGTCAGTGGTGTCTAGCATTTCAGCACCCGCACTCTGCTTTACAGAATCTTGATCTCTCTTCCTCTTCCCATGGATTGCATAGCAAACCATTTGCCTGCGAGTCCCCCTGTCCCGCATACCATGCACCATGCACCACTCGCCTGCTCTAGCCCCATTCCATTGCCCCCTAATTAAGCCCTCCCCTTCTGCTGATCCCCTTCCCTCCCGTACCTTCCCCTTCCCTCCCCCCTTCTCCCCAGAGGCGTCTAGTGCACAACTCCAACCTGACCCAGTACCCCATGTACCCACGGCGGCTAGCACAGTCCATTCCAGGCGGCACCCCACGTACCTGCGGCGGGTGGTGCAGGCCAATCAGACTCCCCCCGTCCCCTACCCTCCTACCCCGCCCCTTTCTACCCCCCTTCACCGGGCCTCTTTCCCAGAGGCGTCTGGAGCGCGATTGCAGCCTGATAAAGCGCCCTGTGTACGTATGGCGGCTGGCAGAGGCCACTCCCCTTCCCATGCCTCTCACCCCCCCATTCATCCCCCGCTCCCACCACCCAGCGGCGTCTGGAGCGCAATTACAATCTGGTCAAGCGCCCCGTGTACCTATGGCGGCTGGCAGAGGCCATTCGGCAGAGCATGGGTGGTGATTATGACGTTGTGCACGTGCGGCGAGGGGACAAGCTCAACCCCCGCTTCTGGCCGCACCTCGACCGGGATACCCGCCCTGATGCGTACGTGAAGCATCAGGGGAGGGTAGGAGGGGGGCGGGAGACGGGGTGGGAAGGGGAAGGGGCCGGGGAGGGGAGAGAAGGGATTATTTGGGGGCTAGAACTTAGAAAGGGTGGGAATATGGTGCTGCTTTTGGAAAGTGTTTGCTTGGTGCTGCACTGTACTTCAAATTCATCACAATTTCTCTGGGCGGACACAACCCATAAGCATATCAGCATGGCAATCGTGTTGTTGTATGTATAAAAAAAAATCCTCCCTTCCTCCCTCCCTCCCTCCACCACTCCCCCCTTCTCTCCTTCCACCCTCCTTCCTCCCTCCTCACCCACCAGCCTCTTGAAAAGGCTCCCGCGGTTCATAGCGCCGGGGCGCCACGTGTACATAGCGTCGAACGAGCGCACGCCGGGCTTCTTCAGCCCGCTCGCCTCGCTCTACAAGATCCATGTGCTCTCCGACCACCGCCACCTCTGGGCGCCGGGGAGCCGCTGTTACAAGGAGTGCCAAGCGCTGATTGAGAGACAAGGGTTGAGACTGGGAGAGGAAGGACCTGTGTTTGACGCTCAGATGCAGGTGGGTGGTGGGCATGGGCGGGAGGTGGTGGAGGGGGGTTGTGTGGGAGTGGGGAGGGTCGGTTGGGGAAGGAGGGTGCGGTAGGGGGGATTGTTCACCCCCTTGCAGCTGAGTTGGAGTGTGGGGAAGATTGACTTTTGTGGAACTGGCTTTTGTTGTTGGGGTGTAGTATGGTGTGGTGTTGGTGATGTTTGCTGCTCTCCGGAGACACATGTTTTTCTTCTTCTTTTCAGAGTGTACGTGTTACAACATGTACGGGTACACGTACACTGCAAAATGAAGTGTACATGTTTCAACTCAACCTATGGCATGCTATCGTATGGTTACAACAAGTTCAGGTTCTCACACGAATGCTAAAACAGGTTGTAACATCGAGCTGCTGACCCCATTGTGTGTGTGTGTGTGTGTGTGCGTGCGTGCGTGCGTGCGTGCGTGCGTGCGTGCGTGCGTGCGTGCGTGTGTGTGTGTATCTGTCTGTGTCGGTGTCCGTGTGTGTTCGTTGTGCTTGCTTCTCCTTGCCTTATCTGGACCGCATGTTGCAGTGGATTGTGGATGAGCTTCTAATGAAGCAGGGGACGAAAAGAGTGGAGACATTTCCTGACCTCACTAGTGATACGAAAGATGGAATAGCAAGATAGGTTACACTCAATAGGGATGCTATGCTATACCATATTCGCCCAAATAATGGATCTGGACCGGACTCCGGAGGTTTAACGCCGTCATCGCCCCAGAATTGTTGGGGGGGGGGGAGGGGGTCTTCACCCCATGCAACTCTGTTTCTGAACCTGCGTGGCCTGGTCGTAACCCTTTTTTGTACACTTTGATGTGTTGCTTGTAACACGCACACACTATATTGAACCCGATTCCCCACTACGGCTCTCCCTGCCTTTCGTGGGACCAATGGTTGCAGTGGATAGTAGATCAGCTACATTGAGTCAGGCGAGAAAGCGGATACGTTTCCTGACCTCACCAACGATACGGTAAGGGACACGCTAGATAGGGTACACGGCCAATAGGGATGCTGCCGTATATCTATAACTTTTTATTTGATTCAACAAATTGTTAGAATAAGCAGGTAGGAATGGTAAGAACAGAAGAGGGGTTTGCACTAGCAGGCAGGTGGAATACATATAGGAACCCTAAAAGGGTTGTACTCTCTGTTGAGTACCCCACTACAGCCTACACAGCAAATAACATTTTGACACAAATGTACCCTCAGTCAGTAGGGTAGGGATGTACAGCATTAGCAAATGTATACTCTAGGCCCTAAGAGTTGTAACGTGTAGACGCCAATGTGTGTACCGTACTTGGACGGTCTTTGCACAAAAACCAGCAGCACCTGCTAGTGCTCATGCTACCGTACCAGGCAATTTTACCAAAACATTACATCTGTGTTTGGCAGCCAGAATGAGGTCAGGCCTGAAAACCATGTTTCAAATGCTTCGCTATACTTTGAATAAAGGCCAGAGACACACCGAAGCAAACTAGGGCTTGTCAGAATAATCTGTGCAGGAATGGATGAATGACTAGCAAGAGTGAGATACAAGTAGTAAACCCTAACTAGGGTTGTACTCTATACTGAGCACCTCACTGTAGCCTAGCAGAACTAGGAACATACAAATATGTTTTGACACACCCCCCTAGGCAAAGTGAGGGATAGCCAACACAACAAACGGTCACAAGACCAGTCAGGCAAGAGAACAAAGCAATGCAAAGCCCAGGGTGGATTTCAAGATGACCACTCATTCTGAGCACAATGTCAGTTCACATGCAGAGTGATAATAACAAGGCAGTACACTGATCACAACCTAGCAAGAGGAAACATGCAGGTATAAATATAGATATAAGTGTACAACAAGACCAAGATCAAGAGACAAGCAGGTGAGGCAGAACGGGCAGAAGCCCAAGAGCAGTGCAAAAACGTTGATGATCACCAGACCCGAGGGCCTTGGTGAAGACATCAGCAGTGTTGGCCCGAGAGGCCACGTAAGCAAGGCGCAGCTGACCACGCTGCTGCAGCTCCCGAGCAAGAAAGTAGCGAAGAGCAATGTGCTTCGTTCTGTGCTCCAGTCTCTGCTCGTGACACAAGGCAAGCATGGCCTTGTTGTCGACGTACAAAACTGGAGGAAAACGAGGCCGCTCCCCCAAGTCGGTCAGCAGGTAGGTCAGCCAACGTAGCTCCTGTGCAGCCATAGCCCCAGCGTAGATCTCGGCCTCACAGCTGGAACCAAGCACAGAAGAAGAACGAGTGGACCTCCACGAGACAAAACCAGAGCCAAGACTGAAGGTGTAACCCTGTGCCGAACGCTGAGTCGCCTGGTCGTCGGCCCAAGAAGCGTCGGAGTGTCCTGTGAGTACCACTGAACCCTGTCCTCCAAGCACGAGCCCCATGCCCGATGTACTGCACAAGTAACGCAGTACCCTCTTCGCAGCATCCCAGTGCACCTTTCGGTGTCTACCGGGAGCCACGTAGCGAGCCAGGAGGCTGAGAGGGTACGCGAGGTCAGGTCGTGTGTACGTTATCATGTACATGAGGCAACCCACAAGCTCTGGATACGGACCACTCGGCTCTACGGACTCGTCCGAAGGTGGAGCTGAGAGCGAAAGGCCAGTAGGCAGAGGAGTGGGCTGTGGCGAGGAGTATTGGAAGCCGAAGCGCTGAAAGACCTGGTGCACCATGTGTGACTGAGTCAGGGTGATGGTGCGCCGTGCTCTGTCTCGGGTGATCTGCAAGCCAAGATAGCTACGCAACTCACCCAGGTCAGTGCAGGTGTGTCTCTTCTGCAGCTCCGCCTTCACTAGGGCCAGCGCCTCAGTGTTAGCAGTAGCAAAAACCAAGTCGTCGACGTACACGAGAACGTAGAACGGCGACAGGGTAGTGTCGGTGCGTAAAAACAGCGACGGGTCAGCAGAGCAAGGAGCAAACCCTAGAGCCGCAAGTGTAGTCCTCAGTGTGTCGTGCCACTCGCGGGGCGCCTGGCGGAGACCGTAGACTGGCCGCCGGAGGCTCCACTTGGTACCCGCAGGACACGACCCAGTAAATCCAGGTGGGCGGCGCAGCCAGATCTCCTCGTGAAAGCTGCCCTTCAAGAAAGCTGTGGAGAAGTCGAGGGAGTGCAGCTCGTAGTCACGCTCTGCTGCAACGTGCAGCAACACCCGAAGAGTAGTCATCTTCGGGGTGGGGGAGAAGGTATGGAAATAGTCGACCCCCTGTCGCTGACTGAAGCCTCGAGCAACGTAGCGCGCCTTGAAGGCAGGCGGAGAACCCGGCGGCCGCTTCACTCTGAAAATCCACATGCCATCCACTATGTTCACCCCAGGAGGAGGAACCTCATCGACGTAGGTGCCTGTGGACTTCCAGGAAGCCATCTCTGAGTCCATGGCTGTCTGCCACTGAGAGGAGTACTCACCCGCGATCGCCTCAGCGTAAGAGCGCGGGGTAGGGATGTCAAGAGCATCCGGGTCTCCCTCAGGGCAAAGCAGCATGGATGCGAAACGAGGTAAAACGGCCGCACGACACTCAAGCTCAAACTGCCTGTCCTCAAGGACGTCACTGCCAAGGGCAGGCTCACCCCCGACGGACGGAGGACAGACAGACTCAGACTCAGTAACAAGACTCGCGACGTAGTCGAGACGACTCCTAGCTGCAAAGTCGACTAGCTCAGTGACTAGGGCAAACGCAGCAGTAGACTCAAAGTCAGGGTCAGTGACTACAGTAGCGAGGAGACGAGTGACAGTAGGACTGGCAGCACGAGCAAGGTCGGACTCAGGGTCAGGAACGTGTGGAAGTGAGGACGCGGGAGGCTCAGGCAGGACAACACGCTGTGGAACAGAGGAAGGACGAAGTGCCATACCGTGAGTGCCTGGGACAGCAGGAGGACGAGGACGGGCGACACGACGAGCACGAACAGGTGTGGAAGCACGAGTCTCAGGCTCACGACGCTCAGTCAGGGACTATGTCACCGCAGTGTGAGGAGCAGGAGCGGGCAGCAAGGAGCCAGGCAGTAGCTGTGGCTGAGACTGGTCTGTCGGTGGACACAGGAGTGGTGGAGTGAGGCCAGTGGAAGATGGGAGACTAAGAACCTGGCGAAGGGCTGAGTCAGGCGGTGGAAGGGACGACTACGGCTGCGGGTAGAAAAACGGTCGGCGCGGCGCAGTACCCGTACCGTCAGCAGCTCCAGTACATCCAGTACCTCCAGCTCCAGTGCCTCCAGTACAAGCAGCACCTCTAACACCTCCAGCACCAGCAGCACCAGGACCTCCAGTACCAGCAGCTCCAGTAGCACCTCCAGCACCAGCAGCACCACCAGCTCCGGCAGCTCCAGCACCTCTAGTACGAGCACCTCCAGGACCAGCAGCTCCAACAGCTCCAGCACCAGTAGCACTAGCACCTCCAGGAGCACCTCCAGCACCTCCAGCACCAGCAGCACCACCAGCTCCGGTAGCTCCAGCACCTCCAGTACGAGCACCTCCATGACCAGCAGCTCCAGCACCTCCAGTACCTCCAGCTCCAGCGCCTCCAGCACCAGCAGCACCTCCAGCACCTCCAGCACCAGCACCTCCAGTGCCAGCAGCTCCAGCACCTCCAGCGCCTCCAGCACCAGCTGTACCTCCAGGACTAGCAGCTCCAGCACCTCCAACTCCAATAGCACCTCCAGGACTAGTAGCTCCGGCACCTCCAGCACCAGCAGTACCTCCAGTACCTCCAAGACTAGCAGCTCCAGCACCTCCAGCACCAGCAGCACCTCCAGTACTAGCACCTCCAGCACCTCCAGCACCAGTAGCACCTGCAGCACCTCTAGCACCAGCAACACCTCTAGTACCTCCAGCACCAGCAGCTCCTCTAATACCTCCAGCACCAGCAGCTCCAGAAGCGGTAACACCGTAACCTTCACCACCAGGACGGCCTCGCTAAACGATCCACTCACGAATCTGCTGCGGCGAGAGCGTCTCAAGTCGACTAGGCTGTCCAACTCCAGGACCTCCAGTAGGGTCACCCACGGCTCCACTGGCACTAGGACTCGCAGCACCCCCTGTGTCAGCACCCCCAGTCTCAGCACCTCCAGTCGCAGCACCCCCAAAACCTGCACCCCCTGTCTTAGCACCCCCAGAACCCGCACCACCAGTGTCACCACCCTCAGTAGCACCAGAGTCCAGAGCAGCAGGTTGCGGAGGCGGCGAAGACGGCCGAGGCGGAAAACCAGGGGGGGTCTCCAAGTGAGGAGAGCGGCGAGTGGCCGCCGTGTCGTCAGTGGCGGAGTCACCCCCCTCAGCTGGGCCAGAGGAGTCAGAGGTGATCTCCACAGGCTCATCCAAGGGGGGTGGGTCTACCTGAGACACACCTGAGGGAGCAGGACCCTGTGGGGGGAGGGGGTCTACCGGGGGGGGAACTGGTACCAGGAAGAGAGGCGCCAAGGGGACCGGGTGGGACGCGTGCGGGTAAACCCTATAGTAACAGACAGACTCGTCAAAGGTGACGTCCTGAAAGGACAAGACCCGACGCAAGCGAGGGTGGTAAAACTGCCACGGCGGGGCGTCGGTGGGGAAGCCAAGGAAGGCGCAGCAGAGAGTGCGAGGAGAGAGCTTGCTCGCGGTGGTATCGCGAACAAGGGAGAGCGCGCCCCAGACTCGAAACACCGACGCATCGCCAACCTCTCCCGTCCAACGGAGTGTGGGCGAGGTCTCTGGCAAAGAGACACGGGCCCAGAGGTTGAGCTGATGCGCGGCGTATCGGACCGCAAACGGCCACAGAAAATGGGGAGCAGCCGCATGGATGATGGAGGTGCGAGCAACCTCCATCACCAAGCCAATGCAGCGCTCTGCAATCCCATTCTGCTGTGGAGAGGCCGGAAGCGTGAACGTCTGGCGGATGCCCTGGTCTCGACAGAGCTCCGCAAGGAGGCCAGAAGAGAACTCACCGCCCCTCTGAGTGCAGACGCTGGATTGGAAGGTCCCGCCGAAACCGCTCGCGCAGCTGGTGACGAGCAGCGCGGATCCAGGGGATCAAAACACCAGTGGCGCCCGCCTTGCTGCGCAAGGGGAAGACCGTGGTGTAGTGCGAGTAGTCGTCAACGACCAGCAGGAAGTAGCGCTCCTGGTCCGTCCCACGGACGCGGGCTGGGCCCCACACGTCCATGTGGAGAGTCTGCAGAGGAGCAGTGGTTGGAGGAAACTCGGAGGAGTGAGGAGCGGCGCGCTGCCGCCCCTCGACACAAGGAAGGCACGGCGGGGCAAGCGAGCGCGGTAGGGGGGGCAGGGACCTGGGGAGGCCAGAGACAAGGAGACGGGAGTGCATGCTGCGCAAACGCTGCTGAGAGGGGTGACCAAGTCGGTGGTGCCAGAGCTGAGTCTGGTGCGTGAGTACTCTGCACGAGCAAGACGCAGCTAACTTGCCCGACGTAGTCACAGGACCTGACGCAGCCACCTGACTCAACGCAGCTACCGGACCTGACGCAGCTACCTGTGCAGACGTAGTGGTCAGTGTGTACAGGCCAGACCCGGGTCTCCGAGTGAACGTGGCGAGGTGGGCGCCAGTGCGTGAGTTCGTACAGATCGCCACAAGCTCACCCCCAGGAGTAGTCACAGTGACAAACTGGCCCTGGAGGACAGCGTTACTCACCAAGTTCGTAGTGAACGAGGGGAGGTGGAGACCTGCAAGCGAGCCGGAAGGGGCCGCCGGACACGGGAGAACGGTGGAGGCACGTGCTACGAATGGGCCCCCAGAGGGGTCAGCCAGAGAGACCGGGACAGGTGCAGTGAGCGGTGTGACTGTGGTACAATCACGAAAGAAGCAACGTGACGCGCCTAAGTCAAGTGTGAAAGTGTGCAAGGCCTCAGCTGAGGCAGGGACAGTGGCGGTAGACTCACTAGCACCTAGAGCGGCAGCAGACTCACTAGCACCTAGAGCGGCAGCAGACTCGCTAGCACCTAGAGCAGCAGCCTCTGCACAACCAGGGACGCCTCGCTGAGAAACACAGTCGCGAAGCAGCTGCGGGGAGAAGGTCTCCTGCTGCCGCCGCTGTCTAGTCCACATAAAACCATAACCTCCACCACCAGGACGGCCTCGGTGAAAAACCCACTCACAAATCTGCTGTGGCGAGAGAGTGTTCGGGTGCGCGGGCTGCCGCTGCTGTCCAGTACCTCCAGACGCTGTAACACCGTAACCTCCACCACCAGGACGGCCTCGCTGAACGATCCACTCGCGAAGCTGCTGCGGTGATGGAGTGTCCGGGTGAGGCAGTGGCTGCTGCTGTCCCCCCCTAGACGCTGCTATGACCGTGAGAGTGGCCATGACAGGCAGTGGCAGTCAGTAGCAGTGGCGCAAGAGCGTGAGTAGCAACTGCAGTAGCTGCAGCTGTAGCAGTAGCGGTGGTCGCTGAGGCTGCACCAGCAGTAGCGACTGTTGGAGTGGCTGTGGAGGCCAGTAGGGTGCGTGGGCAGCAGGGCGCAGGCTAGCGAAGTAACAGCAGCAGTGGCAGCAGTAGCAGCAGTAGCGCCAGCAGTTGTAGCAAGGGCGGCTCGGCAGGGCAGCAGTAGCTCAGCAGCAGCAGCACAGGTGGCAGCAGCAGCCTAGCAGCAGCAGGAGCTGTGCAGTAGTAGCAGCTGTGCAGTAGTAGCAGCAGCAGCAGCAGGGCGGCTCGGTGGGGCTGGGCAGTGCTGCAGGGCGGCGCGGCTTGGCAGGGCTGGGCGGCGCGGCTCGACAGGGCAGGGCGCAGCAGCAGCAGCGCTTGCAGCAGCAGCAGCAGAGCGCAGGCAGCTGGCGGGCAGCGCGAGCGGCACGCTGGGCAGCAGGTGCACGGGTTGCAGGGCAGGGCGGCGCGCGGGCCTAAGGGCAGGGTAGCGCGGCTCGCGGGCTGCAGGGCAGGGCGCGCGGGCCTAAGGGCAGGGCGCGCGGGCCTAAGGGCAGGGCAGCGCGATGCGCTGGCTGCAGGGCAGCTGAGCGCGCGCTGGACAGGGCAGCGGGGCGCGTGCTGGGCAGGGCAGCAGGGCGCGACGCGCTGGGCTGCAGCAGGGCGCGACGTGCGGGGGCAGCAGGGCGCGACGCGCAGGCTGCAGGGGGCGACGCGCGGGCTGCAGCAAGGCGCAACGCGCGGGGCAGCAGGGCGCGACGCGGGGGGCAGCAGGGCGCGACGCGCAGGTTGCAGCAGGGCGCGACGTGCGGGCTGCAGCAGGGGAGCGCGCGTGGCAGCAGGGCAGCGCGACACTGTGCGAGCTGGGGGCAGCAGGGCACGACGCGCAGGCTGCAGCAGGGCGCGACGTGCGGGCTGCAGGGCGGGACGCGCGGGCAGCAGTGGGGCGCGACGCGCGGGCTGCAGCAGGGGAGCGCGCTAGGGCAGGCAGCGCGCGTGGCAGCAGGGCAGCGCGACACTGTGCGAGCAGGGCAGGACAGCGCAAGGGCGCTTCGGGCAGGAACGAGCGGAACTATTGGTGGGCCCTAAAAACTTAACAGGTTTCCTGCTCTGAAACCATGTCAGAATAATCTGTGCAGGAATGGATGAATGACTAACAAGAGTCAGATACAAGTAGTAAACCCTAACTAGGGTTGTACTCTATACTGAGCACCTCACTGTAGCCTAGCAGAACTAGGAACATACAAATATGTTTTGACAGGGCTCACTTGTCTTCCGTGACAGAGCAGCACCCCACTGTGTTTAACTGGCTTGAGTCTTGTTATTTCGAATCATTGCATTCTTGCTATCGCTGGTGAGGTCATTAAACGTCTCCACTCTCTTCTTAGCATTAGCCAGTACAGTTAACTCCACAGTCCACTGCACAAGGCACACATACGAAACAAATCAGGAAGGCAATAAGTAGGGAAAGAAAGAAAGAAAGAGAGAAAGCGAGAGAGAAAAAAAGAGTATTGACCACGCGTGTAGACAGTAAAACCTGCCTGCCACCTCAAGTAAACCAGTATGATAAACCCCTCCTCTTACCTCCATATAAGCATCCAATTCCGGCTTCATTGTAGTCAGGTTCAGGGACCGGAGGAGGGCTTTAAGGTCACTCTGGAACTTGCTCCCCGGCGCCCAGAGGTGGCGGTAGTCGGAGAGCACGTGGATCTTGTAGAGCGAGGCGAGCGGGCTGAAGAAGCCCGGCGTGCGCTCGTTCGACGCTATGTACACGTGGCGCCCCGGCGCTATCAACTTGGGGAGAGTCTTTAGGAGGCTGGGCAGGAGGCGGTTGTGTGTTCAAGACAGGGAAGGGGAGAGGGAGCGTGAAGAGAGAGAGTTTGCATGACAGGGTGAGTTTCACAAACGAAAAGCATGAGTGCGTTTAGGGGGAGAAAGAGCACACGTGTTCAGACCACCATGTAAGGCATAGCATCTCAGGTACAGACTCAGTGCACATCTCCAAGAAGCACCCTCTACTTATTCAGCATTGTACAAACTCGCATCGCAACAAGTCCCACCATCCATGCAGCCTCATTCATCCCCGCTTACGCGTTTGGCCGCGTGTCGCGGTCGAGATTGGGCCAGTATTGGCGGCTGGACGGCTTCACCTTGTCCCCGCGCCGCACATGCACTGCATCGTAGTTCCACCCCATAGACGCTGATATGGTGTTGGATAGCTTCGCCAGCACTTGCGGCCGCCACAGCAGTTTCAAATCCCGCTTTAGCAGCTTCTGAGGCGTGTGGAGTGGATGGGTCAGGATGGGTTGGAAGGGGATGAGTCGACAGGCAGGATTTCTATGGTTGTAGCACACACATGTAGGGTAGAGGTGAGACGCTTGTACATGACTTTTGGGAGATTTCAAAAGTGAGATGGATGGAGAAGGAGAAGGGAATGGAGAGACAACGGAGAGAGTGGATGTGATAGGGGATGAAGGGCTGGGGTGATAGGAGTGGGCTGCTGGAAGGGGAGGGAGAAGAAGACAGGGGGGATAGATGGGAACGGGAGGAATGACGGTGATAGCGAAGATGCAAGTAACTTCCATCACCACCCTACCCATTTCCCCCGCTCCCCCTCCTCCCCTCCTTCCCCCTCGTCTCCCCATTCTCCCCTCGTCTCCCCCCCACTCCACCTCCCCCCCCCCCACACCCCTCACCTTATTCTCAGGTACGCCGCAGATCTGATACGCAAACTGCTCCTCTCTAAGCTTCCGCACAACAAGCTGAACGTCCCTTGTCTTCTCCCTCACCCACTCGGTCGCTGCAAAGGGTTTATATTCTGCGACTCGCATCCTGCCCTGCTGCTGCAGCTTCTCCGGATCTAGGGATCCGAAGCGCTGCCGGAATGTGGTTGCGTATATCATTGGCTGTCGGCTGGGCGACGCGGGAGGAGGGGGGATATGCGAAGGGAACGAAGGATGGGAACGGATCGCCTTAGGAAGATAGTGACCATTCTCGAAAACACCCTTTGACAAAAAGAGAACGCTAAATCGCATCATGTGTTCTATATTGTAGTGTAGACCCATCGGATCCAAGAAACTCCCGAAAAACACTCCACTCACCTCATCATGTGTTCCATATCGTAGTATAGACCCACAGGCTTCTCCTCCCTCTTCCCCGTCAGCGAATGCGACTCGCTGATGCATCTAAGATCCGGCACCACCAGCGTTCTATTAAGAGCCTTCGCCTCCGCCGCGGCGCACAGGAAGCTCCACGTCCAGTGCGACTCGCCCACGCAATAGTCGCCGCCTCCGCTTACCATGTAAAACCGTGCCGCCACGTGTCCGTTGCCGATTCGTTTCGCTGCTTGCTGCGATGGTGTAATATGTGCGGCGCGTGTCTGTACGGAACTTGTTTGCGGAGATCCCTGGCGTGATGGAGTAACCACGGGTGCACCGGCCGGGGTAGGGATGTCGTTATTATTGGCGCTGCTGGCGGGTTCTGTGCGTACCAATATTTCATATTCCAACAGGCTATTAAATAGAGGTTTCTTATCCTCGCTTTTGGCATCGTCCGAAAGCCTCCGGATGGCATGGTTCGGAGAAATGCTGAAACTGGCGACTCGGAATGTCGTAATACGGAACGTGGTCAGTCCTTGGTAAATCAAGCACGCAGCGACGAGCAGCAGCAGCACAAGCAGTGCTAACCGGAGCACGCGAAATGGCGGGCCGCGAGGTGATGGCTTTTCAGTCGCCGACTCCCACGGTATCGGCTGGTTGGTAGTTTTTTGCACGCGAGAGGTAAGCCGACCGTCACTGACGTTGCTTGTCTCATCTCCCGTCGCGGGATCATAGACGTCGCTGCATTTCATGGCACTCTCCGTCATGGTTACTAAAGCTCTAATTGCTCAGGCCCATATACTCGTGGCGCGCATCGGCTACTATATTTAGGCGACGATTCTGGCCATGTGCTACAATCGACACCTCTGACTGTTTCTGCCACACTGACGAAAACGGGCGGGAAACCGTTTTAGCGGGATAAATTGTGTGATTCCCCAGACTTCCACGAGATGTGCCTGCGAGCGAGTCGCGTGGAGTACCATCCTGATTCCTGAACAGCAACAGTCGCAAACATTTCGCGAAACGGCTACCAGGTGTTTCGTCGAACACAAACGTGAGGAAGAGGTGTTCGTGCCATCACCCATTCCAATATGCGAAAAGCTTGCGAAGATGACACATACGCAACCAAGTGCTTCGCAGTCGATGAAAACGGGCCTGTCTGATTGGTTTACAAATTTGGGGCCAAAGTTTTGACAAATCGAGACTCTCCAAGTGCTTTGCAGTCGCGAAGCACCCATGGAGTGGAGAGAATTGCTCCAGGACCTTTTTTCGTGATTCGGTCTTTCCCACGTGGCCCCAAATTTCTCGCGTGGCCATCCAATTCAGTGATAATTGCTCGAGTGGCCACGCCAGGGGATTTTCGAGGTGTTTGTTTTCCCCGGCACATTACCCTACAAGGGTTTGTAACCCTGAAATTCCTCGTTCGCACGAGTCTCATCCCGCGGTAGTGTTTCGTACTATTCCCCACCCGAAAATTTCGGGTGGGTGGCGGGAGGGAACGTGGCCCACAGACTGTACACAAAACCGACAAATATGCACGACCAACAGTAGATACGCGGTCATTTTCGGCCAAATGAACGACCAATGAGCGCGCGGTCAGATAAAATCGTAACCAATAAGCGCTCGAGCATACAAATCCGCGATCATAAACCTCAAATGACCAGCATCAAAACGGAACAGCCCTAACGACCACGCATGATTCGTCAATAATATGCGCGGTGCAATTGTTGGCCTTGCGCATCCAATCAAGTGCCATCATTAAGGTTTGCAACCATATTTGACCGCGCAAATGAAACTCAATTTACTATATAATATTTCGGGGTCAAATCGTTACCAAGGGTTTGAATTTCAGGGATACACAGCCTTGTAGGATAGTGTTTCGGGGAAAACAAACACCTCGAAAATCCCCTGGCGTGGCCACTCGAGCAATTATCACTGAATTGGATGGCCACGCGAGCAATTCGGGGCCACGTGGGAAAGACCGATTCACGAAAAAAGCCCTAGAGCAATTCTTTTCATGGAGTGCCCGTTGCAGACAAAAATTGTTCCAGAGCCTCGTCGTGCACGGCCTGATTTCGGGCTGACAGATTGTTGAACCGTGGCCTCCCCTCCTGTTTGTTTGTGCTCGCTGTACTTCATGGTATAATTCCACGCGTTTCCAAACAGACGTGAGATGTCACATGGGTTCAACAAAACAATAATTTTTTCGAAGGCTACTATAAAGATGCCAGATTCTAAATAGCTATCATAGTTACAGCATATTAAATATATGAATATACTTACTTCTATACATCCAATAACTTGCAACTTGCTAGCTCATACATCATTTTACTCACCGTAACTTCCAATAACATATATATGATTTTTTATAACAATGTTAAAAGAGGGAAAATAAATGCATTTTTTTCCCCTAAAATATTAACATTTTATGACCAGATACATTTTTTTTTTCGCAAAGAACGAGTTTGCACTATAACAAGGCAAATACATTCACAGTCATAACTGGATTCTGAAGGGAAACAGCTAACCCCGACCGAAACTCAAGCGCCTCCCCCTTGCACACCAGGCCCCACGTTATCAGGGCAAAACATCCTGATTACCCTGAAATCAGGATGCAGTTTTGAATTTACCCTGTCATTTCAGAATGGTGTAAATTTTAACCCTGAGCTCTCAGGATGTTTTATATGAAATGCCCTAAACATTCAGGATTGCCGTAGTGTTCTTCCCTGTAGCGTCAGGATGAATGTCGAGGCCTGCCCTGACGCGTTTTTTTAGGGGGGGAGGGGTGGGGGGGGGGGGGGGGGGGGGGGGGGGGTTCCCGTTCCCGGGGATTTTTGTCCCCGTTGAAAATTTTCCCCGTGTATGTTTCCCGCCTTCGCACGATCCCCCGCAACGCACCAGCCCAACCCATCAGACTGGGAACAGGTTGGGCAAGGCAACTCGTCGTGTGCCATGTCAGTCATGCACTAGCTGGGGTGTCTCTCTTGCTGATGTTGAGCACTCCTCCAACCAACACCCTTCCAGTGTTGCTGCTAGAGTAGCAGCAGCACTAGTGAAGCTCGGCTGGCTCACTCGCACACACTTGTCATGGCCAACGAGGACGATGTCGCGGCGCCAGTTTCACGGGGTCTAACCGGATTATACTTCTTGCGTCCTGTTCGAGCTGTGTCCACCTTACCAACAGGTTCACCTGCAGCTGGCTCATCTCGAACACCCGTAGTCACACCCGCCCGTGCCAGTACAAACGGCACCAACGTTGTACCACCTGGTGCGACACGCATCGACCCTGCCGCTACTGCTAAGTTAAGAGCGACCAAGCACAAACAGTCGCGCTTATCGTTCTGTCGCGATAGTCCTATGGAACCCACCGACAGTGGGTTTAGTAGCAGCAGCGATGATGATGATGATGAGGAGGAGGAGGGCTAAGTGGAGGTGTAGGAGTTAATTGAGTTGAGTAGTAAAACACCAACTATATCTGCTGCTCTGCTCTGCTCTGCTCTGCTCAGCAGAGGCTGGTCTGGTGTGTGTTAAATTCTTAACCCTGAACACTGGTTTTTTTTCCGTGACAGGTCAGGATTGATTTCTGCAGAAGCCCTGAACATACAGGATGGTTTTGAAAAATTGCCCTGACAAATCAGGGCATTTTTTTAGATTCTAGAAAGGTGCCCTGAGGCATCAGGGTGCCCCAAATCCTAGCACGGGCCCTGTTGCACACGTCTACGGTGGGCGGTGGAACGTCTTGGGGTTCAGCCATATGGATAGGAAGTCGACCCTCCACGTGGCCTGTTCCCCTGCCTCACAGATCCTCGCAATCACCGCTCCCTCATCCCCAGCCAAGCCGCCCCACGGGTCCCGTGGCTGCCCCCGGGCAAGCCCTCCTGCTGCCTTTCTCAGCTTTTCCGCCCTGTAGAGCCTCGCATGGCGCATGAAATTATAGATAGCCGCCCGTGCCACCTTCTTCTTTTGGAACTTCTCCTTTCGGTACACCGCATCCACCATGGCCAACCAAATTCTTCTCATCGTCACCGCTGTCACAGTTGCCCCCAGAAAACCGGACTTCGTGGCCCCCTCTTGAAACAGCATGTCGCCTAGCGACCTCGTCTGGTCCGCAGGGTCCATGATTCTCAGCGAACTCAGCACTGGCCAATCACCAGCTGGATGACCGGGCAGGTGAGCATGCAGTGAACTAGTGTTTCAGGTTCTCCACAGTGCGGGCAGCAGCCCCTGGGACCAAGGAAAACCAGCCTCCCTCCCACCTGCAGGTTCTTGCTGTGCATCTTCAGCACCACATCCCGTGCTATGTAGGGAATCACCATGGGGTCTCTTCTTTCCCTCACAGCCTTCCAGTCAATTATCTTTCGCCACTCTTCCTCCCACTCGTGCCTCCGTCTTGACGCCGTCACCGGCCGTGCCAGCGCCCTCCTAATCTCCTTAGGTGCTGCCAGCCTCAGGCTTCCATCCACCAACGAGGTTTGGCAGAGTTTAACTCTCGGCTCCCCCATAGCCCCGAGCACCCTGCCTCCTTTGACCACCACCGGCGCCACGCTCTTCACGGGGAAAGCGACCGCGTACGGCCTCTGTGGCGCGACCAGGTTTGAGCCATCCGCACAGTCCAGGTGATCTGTCGCCACCTCTCCGTCTTTGACGCCTCGCACCGTCCAGTATAGGAACTCCTGGGTGCGCGCCAAAACCGTTCGTATCACTTTCGCAGCCGCCACCACCGCCTCCGCTGACTTCGGCGCTGCCAGCATCGCTTTCCATTCAGTCGGGCCCGCCTCATACGCTGTTTTCGCCCACCTTGCTTATGCCACACTCCCAAAGGCTGCCGTCAGCGTCTTGATATCCTTAATATATCTGCTTTCGTCCTCTCTGGTGATGAGCAGGTCACCTATCCTGGTTGTCCGGATCCCAGCCGCTCCCTTCCGGTTCCCAAACGGGCTCTTCCCCCGGAACATGATGCGCCGGTTGAAGCATAGTAGCTCCCGCTCGGCTTCCAAGCCATTGGATGGCGCCAGGAGGTCCGCGAACGGCGACTCCCAAAAAACCACAGCTATCGCTTTCCACCTCCGGCTACCATTTTCCCAGTGCCTGCCGGCGGACTTGTGGGCGAAAAAAGTCGCAATCCCTTGCGGCAGCGCCACCGCCTTCTCCGTCATCCACTGCTTAGTGGCGTCCTGCTCCGTCAGAAACTTCCCCACCTGGC